CGCGCGGCGCTTCAAGCCTCGCGTGGATCTCCGCTATAATAAGTATATTGCTGGTTTACACGTGACGTCACGGTGGCCACTGTGGTGATCAAGAACTAAAGTGTTTCTCTCCTATGGGAACTAAACACCATTTTCATGTTAATACTTCCAAAAATTGTTTATTGTATTGAACACGAACATGGCATGGCCACCTTGTCACGGGGTTGCAAACCAAGAACAGAAACGCGCACTAAAGGAGGGCCCGCGGAGCAGTTTTTAAAGTACGGGGGCCGATGACCACCTCTTTTGAAGTGGTGGTGGTGAGGGGGAGGGGCAAATTTGGCTGTTCTCTCTTTCTGGCTGTTTAGAACTTTTAGATTACTGAACCTTTCTTGAGTCATTGTTGAGCGGAGTCATGTTGATAAATTTCAATCGCCTGAAAAGTACCTTCTCCTGCTGTGCCTGATTGCATACGCTGGATTTACCACTAGAAGTTTGCAGATCAAGATATTACACTGTAGGTTCCTGTAACCCCTTCATTTTGTCTAGTATGTCATCGCAATGCGTCACAGACCACATCATGAGACGATGTAATTCGTTTTAAGAAACCGTAGTTCATGGAGTAGTCTTCAGATTTAATCAAGAACCTTCATCAAAAAAGACTATTCCGCATCGTTCCAGTTGCTACAAAGCCTTCTTGGTTTGAAAATGCAGAAGTCTAGGACTAATTGCAGTTTAGTAAAGATAGGCGTTTTGAGGCTTACTACGCATCAGACTGATGGGATCAAAACGGAAAAATAAGAAAATTTAGATATTGGAAGATTCTTATTCCAACAAAGATACTATTTAAATATATGAAAATGTATCTTACAACTGAACCTCTATAACGAGGACCTCGGTCTAACGAACTTGTCTTTTTCTTACTCCAGTAACATTAAAATACAAAGCAATATGAAAAAGAACCTCAATATAAGTTAACTACCCCCGTTATAACGAACATATTTTACCAGTCCCTAGGCCCTTCGCTATATCGAAGTTCCGCTGTTTTAATTTATAATTTATTTATTTGTTTTTCAAAAAGTAGGGAGGCCCTGCAGAGCCCCCCAGCCCCTCCTCCTACTCGGGCCCTGTGAAGTTGGTTTATGATAAAAAGGCTTTCTTATCCGTTAATCTAAAATTTACATTTATGAGTGGCCTTATTAACAGGAAGGTGTTCCATCTGATGTCTTTGTCTTGACGGCCAGTTGGGTGCGCGGGGTTTGGGCGATGGATGGGTGGATGACATCCCAAACAGTTTTTCATATATATATAATGCAATCGCTTTGGCTATGAGTTATGATGCCATTTATTATAAAAAATCTGAAATCAGCGCATTTTTTATAGTAGTAATAGGGGCTACTATAAGTATTAACCAATCAGAGCGCAGCAAATGTTCTCTCGACCAATCAGCATCGCGCATTTGACCCATGTGACTTAGGTGACGTCACAATGCCCATATATGGTCATAAAATTCACGTGACCCCATAGGAATAAAGAACACGCACACACAAGAGTTGAATTCACATTCTTGGCATAGTTTTAATGAACCGCGTGAAGCCCTGGGTACAAGCGGGACGTGTGTGACACCCTAGTGATATCACGCCCATTTTTTTTTTACATTAATGCACGAAATCGAAAAAAGGTGTTTGCTTCATGGCAGAAGAAGTCATATGACTGGGATGAGGCCATTTGATGTAGTGGTTGAAACCTGTATATGACCATGGTTTGAGGAAAGGGAATTTGATCGTGGCCAAAGTGACTGAAACGAATTGAATAGAGGAATGGTTAGATCCAAGAAGCAAACTGGATGAGAAACAGCCGACCATTGGCACGCACAAGGCGATGGTTCAGGGTCCAATGATTGACTGAAAAAAAACAGACCTCGATTACAAACGGGACGTGTGTGACACCCTAGTGATGTCACGCCCTTGAAATGTTTGTTTACAATAATATTCTATTAAAATCCAGTCTTGATTATAATCAAAATGGTCTAGGATCCAGTGACATACTAATAAAAAATCAATATCTTAGTTTGAGCATCCAAGAACCAATGACATACTAATGAAAAAAAATCAACGTTTGAGTTTGAACAAATGAAGTAAGCTGGACCATCCTTGATGGTTGACAATACAGAGTTTATGAGGGATGGGCCAGCTTTGGAAAATCATCACACGTTGAATGATCCAATGGGAATCTAATAAAAAATAAAAGGAAGACTGAACATCCAGCAGGGGTGGCGCCACCATGCAGACCTCCCCCTGCCGGGTGTTCAGAATTCCCATCCTGTGCTTTCTAAGATGTGACAACCCCAACAGGGTTCATGGAGGGTGTTCACGTGACGTGAATACGTCCAACAGCGTTTGCACACAAAATACAACTGCTTCATCAGATAAGCATGGTAATATCTGGTGTGATTCTCTATTATCTGGGCAGTGGCTGAAAAAGGGAAGGGAGATAAATAGCTCGTATGACAAAACGAGTGTCTGAAACGAAAAAACAACGGATGGGTGTTAATCACGGGGTGGATAGCCCATCCCTTGCATCAACTCACACCAATAACAGGGCACATCTAAATCGCGCACACGACGAAAATTTAAAAAACAACGACAACACAGTAATTTGAGGGGTCTTGGATAAGGTGGAAGGGCAACCCCTGTTCCAGTGTACCATTGTACGATACTGCCACAAAAACACCAGGCCGCGGAAGTACCATGAACCCTGTGGGTGCTGAGAATAGTGTGCGAATCTACGAAAAAATGAATACTCGGTCTTCATGAGTAAGAAAGCAATACGGTCTTGGAAGAAGCAACTGTTGTAGACATGACTATGTGTTTCTAAAAAAATTCAATAATAATAAATGTCTTTGGTATCTCGTCCAAGTAAAAAAGCCACACAATCTCGGAACCAGCGACCGCTTTTGAGGTGTCTACGGGTATCTAAAAAGCAGTACCATCACAAAACTGAGTGAATTGTCGAACACTATGAATATGGTAATGGTGTTGCAAGGAAAGGATCCACCCCCATTCTTCTATGGCAGAAATCACATCTGAAAACCATAAAGGCCAATCACAGAAATCACATCTGAAACGTTTTATGAAGGTGGATTATACATTTGACTGTGCTATAATGACATCGTAATTGAATGGGTCGTACCCAATCTCCATAGTGTTTCATCGTGTAATGAAAGCCTACAATGAACGATGCAAAATTCGGAAAAAATTAGAACGTAAAGAGCGCACACTCGGAATCCATTGCAAATGATCACGTAGAAGGCAATGCGTGCCTAAAAAAATAGTTAATATGAAAATTAATCCTCTAAAAAATCCAGGGCCGCCAAATCCGGTTCACCCACAATACCCTGGGACCGTAAAAACGAATTAATACGAAACGTCATACGTAACGGAAAATCATCCCAATCCCGATAATTGGGGTCCCCACTCTGCACATAGTTTACAATCTCATCTTCAGTGAGGGACCCCACCCTACGGCGAGCAATCAGGTCATCCAACCTGAATCCATCCATCATCCGTTCACAATGATTACACACTCCACCAGGAGTGGGATGGGCGAGCCACTGGTATATATGGCACACGGGTTGGTTTTCTATGTACTCCCATGAATCTGACAAAAAAAAAAATTAACACGAACAATTTGGCACCCAGAACCGTGCGGCCCAATTGAGTCGGGCACGTCGAGGGCAAAGACATAGATGGACAGGCCACAGCACGGTGCGTAGAAACTCGAACCCCTTGAATACCTCTATGAAAAATCAAAAAAAAGGTATAAGGAAAAAAGGGTCCCACACCCGAAAAAAATGAAAAGTCATGACACTCACCAGCCATACGGCGACGATGGACCTCATGGTCTAATTTGCGGGCGATCGGGTGGTCCCACGGGAAGGTTTTGGCCCAATTCCGTAACTCTTCGTGGGTACAGCGTCTGAACAGCACACGAAACACCTCATGGCCCATGGGTAGGTGGTGGAGAATCTTTAGCATCTCAATCAACATCGCGATCGGTACGGAGTACAAGACAATGGACTGCAAGGAACTCACCATCTTGACTAGCTTGACGGATCAAACTGGAATGAGCTCGCATAGAGCGCGCAACGGGATTTACAGACTTGATGGGAGGCGCTGATTGGTGGAGAGAGATCATGTGGGAGAATTTGACCAGGAGAGGAAACTCTAGGGGGTGCCCCCCATGGGTACACCTTTTTTAGGGTGGATGCCAAGTCCTGGCGCGAATAGGCGATTGGCCACAGAAACCCATGAATAAGGCAGACTAGAGCGGAGAGGTCCCATTCCATGCTTGACGCTGTTTTCAACATGGACTGCCGTGGACTTGTTGATCCCAGAAATAAACCGTTTGGCCGCGTGTTGCCCCTGGAGATCCAAATCAAGATCATGTTTTGGGTAGAGTGTTTTTACACCATGGATAAGAGAAAGAAGGTGGTGCGAGAGATCAAAAGTTTACCCTATTGCTCTGTCACAGGCTTTCCTCGACACCTAGGTGAGGGTCAATGGTGGAATGAAGTGATTGTACGTCTACGTGCCCCCCGGACCAATGGCTGCCACCATTGCCATCGTATACACGATCACCGGTTGTCGGTAAGTAATTGTTTGAAAAGTCCCTTTTTTTGTCTTAGTGACCCGATGACTGACATGGTTTTGGTTTTTTAGATTGGTATGTCAGTAGAGATGGCGCGCCCCAAGCCGAACTTGGACAAACTCATGAACGAGGGAATAGCCTTCATCATTGACCAGTTTTATGGAAGGTTTAAGGAGCATCCTGTGGGTCAACGTCCGGTTATGATTGGCCAAAGAAAGCCCTCCTATGACACCGTGGACAAAGTGATGAACAGACTGGACTTGATTTACAAAGTCATGAATGCCATGGATTTTATTTTCATGGATGTACACTAAGAACATTAAAAACACATGATTTGTCTAGAGCAAATGTTTTTTTTTCATTGACGTTTAAATAAAGCTTCCAGGGTGGGATAAAGAATCGAGTCTTCTTCTCGGGTACCGACAATCGCCGTTTTATCTTGAAGGGTGGGTAACGCGATTTGGGTCTCGGTCATACCATCACAGACTTGATACTCTTGGGAGGTGGGATTCCACCAATACCATTGTTCTTTGTCCACATCAAAGACATAGAGGGGTTTGCCTGAAAGTTGGGCCATGACCACACCCCATCCTGTACCACCCAATAGATGCTTGCCGAGTTCGTCAAAATGACCCAAAGCGAGGACGAGGGACGCAGGTTGGATCACGTAATAATTGCGTTGAATATACTGGAGGCTGATAGGATGATGAATTTGTCGACCCAATCGAAACGCCACCTGGGTGACGGTCGGGGTGGCCGCATCCAACTGGGACTGGGTCAAGGGCGCGAGGGACTTAGATCGAGGGTGACAAGGTGGGATCAACACCACACACGTATGACCATACAAGTGACATAATCGTTCCACATGCGTGTCCACACCTTTAGCACCGCCTGTGTAAATGAGCATGGTCTGAAAAAAATGAAAAAAAATTCAGTGTTTATGATGAGGGATAGGCGTCCAAGCCCACATGGTATGCGGTTCATCATCGGCGTACATCAGGGGTACATCCCATTCCCGCTGGGTCACGGTTTGTTCAAAGACACGTGAGACGTTATGACAATCATCGCAATCCTCCGGGATCCAATCCAGTCCTTGACCATTGGCAAACGCCTGATCTTTGGCCTCGGTACAATAGTTGCATAACAGTTCGTCTAATAATCGATCACACCGTTTTTGCCACAACACGCGTTGGGCGTTGATTTGCGAAAGGGTGGGTAGGACATGGGTCTGGCGACGGAGCCATCCACTCATTTGACAGACCCGCACGTGGGCGCAATGATCATGCCAGATACCACTCCCACGGGCTCCATGAGAATGATCCTCACACCAATTACGACCATGATCGTGGTGAGCCATGACATTGGCCGTAGCAATAGGGAGATTGGCCAAGTCCCCACACCCCTGCCCTTCTAGGACCACGAGAGGGTAAGCAAACGGGGGCTCTTGCAACATTTTAGTCAGCCCATTGCGCGTGTGAACCCCGATCCGATTCCGCTGAGGGGTGAGATGCTGTTGACACCAACGGGTGATATCGTCTCGCATTTGTTCGTAGGGATGAAAGTCTTGACGATTGTACGCTGTATAGGGTTCGAAGGGCAAGCCATGCACGGTCTGGGTTTGACGATCGACGCGCGTTCGGGCCTCCTCGGATAATTGATGGTACGACACGCCTGGGGGTAACAGGTATTTGAACAATCCGTGATGATGCCCCGTCCAATCGCAAAAAGCCAGTTCTCGAATAATGTATTCATCTCGGGAAAGGGCAAACCCCTGACTGTACACCAAAAGACCCACTTGATGGAGCGTCATACTTACTGTGTTGGTTTGACTGCAATGAATGAGAGGGGTGTTGGATGCCTCGCGGGTTTTATAGCCACTAGAGTGGTCGCTGATTGGTAGAGACCCACATCACACCACCCTCACGAGATCCCAGGACGAGTCCGGATTGGTGGAAAAAAGATCGTATGAGCATCACGAGGGACATCACATGAGGCAGGAGGAGGGGCTATAAAAGGCCGAGTAGACGCTCCCTGGAACTCATTCGTCCAGATGAATCGTCAAGCCACTCAACCTGCCGCAGTGCCTTCGGGACGCAAACGACGACGCGTCAGTAAGAAACAAAAACAAGAGGAGGAAGCCCAAGCGCGAGCTGCACAAATGAAAGCGGATCATGATCAGGAGATGGCCGAGCTCGGGTTTTCCCGTGCAGAACTCGTAGAGATGAAAGCCAAACAACCCCCTGCCGATGAACTAGTGATCGCGCTCGATGCCTTGCCTAAAGCGGTGGACCCACTGCCCACACCCTCTCCCACCGATCAATCCGTGAACGCATTGATGGAGGGCACCCTGAAAGACTATAAAGAAGAATGTGTAGAGGAAGGGACGTTTCATTCAGATCCAGCCACCGAAGTGGGAGAATGGGATATCCAGGACATAGACCAGATGGACACCCAGTTCAACCAACTCCTGTATGAAGTGTGCCCGTTTCATCCCCATCGATTCCTGGAATGTGTCAACCCCCAAGCCAGGTTTGGTCCCCTGAGATTCAAGTGTCCTCAACCAGGGTGTCCAGTCTATTTGTTTGAAGACACGCGAGAAATAATGATGGAGGCTTTAAAAAACGACACGCATCCTCAAGTCCATGCCCGTTTGAAACACGGAGAGCTCAAGTGCAAGTGTGAGTTGGTTCCCAAGATGAAATTGAGTCGCACGGCCAAAAATCGTAACAAAGTGTTTTTCAGTTGTGGGAGCTTTCTCACTCATGCCAAACCCTGTGGCTACTTTCAATGGCTCCATGGTCCCTTGTGGTGTCCCCGTGAACAAGCGCAACCGACCCTGAGACGATGGGTGAAAGACACACCCCCTGAGCTCCATCACAAGCTTATGAAAGACCCCGAGAAAGAGAGACCCTGGGGTCTACACGCTGTAGAGATGCGTTATGGTGAGAGGCCAAACCCAGTAATAGACAAGATAAAGTATGATCCGTGGATGAAACAGTTTGGTGAGTCTGTCCAAGCCCAGGATCGAGAGTTTGAAAGAAGACGCCATTTGCATAAGAACTTTGGCAGTTCGTGTTTGTTTTGAAAAAAAAAATTCATGTAGGTGAAAAAAAACTATTAAAAGACAGACTTGGACTCGAATCGTGTGTCAGTGTCTTGATGTCGTTGCCACGCGCTTACGAAGATCCCCGAGAACCGGGGGCCTTGGGTGGGGTCCAACCCTTTGCCCGAGCCCACAAATTAAAAACCCCGCAAGCGCAACGCCTTCTTCAATCTGTGTTGAGCTATACGCTCCACAAACCCCGACGGACCCGATTTCCCACCACCCCCACGTTGGTCTTTGGCCGAGACGAACAATGGCAGATGGATTTAGTGGACATGCAAAAACTCAGTCGGTGGAATCAGGGGAACAAATATTTGTTGACGGTCATCGACGTCCTGTCCAAGTATGCCTGGGCCGTCCCCATCAAATCCAAGAGTGCCGCCAACATGATCAAAGGGTTGGAGGCGATACGCCGACGAGCCTCGCCGCGACGACCCCTCCGCGTGCAGACGGATCAAGGCCAAGAATTTTTGAATCGACAAGTCCAAGCCTGGTTCAAGAAACACGATTGGCATCATTTTTACACGTATGGAGATAGCAAGGCCTCGGTGGTGGAACGTTGGCATCGTACCTTGAAACAACGGATGTACCGGTATTTCACCGCGCACAATACGTTACGGTACGTGGATGTGTTGCAACCCTTGATCTATACCTACAATCACACCTATCATCGCAGCATTGGGTTAGCGCCGCATCAAGTCACCTTTCGAAACGAGTCCGAGGTATGGGATCGACTCTATGGAGCCCGATTGAAGACCAAGATCCCCCCACCCAAATGTCGCGTGGGCGATCGGGTGCGTCTCAACAAGAAACATCGTCCCTTCAAAAAAGGGTATTTGCCGGGGTGGACGGAAGAAGTGTTTGTGGTCACGCATGTGCGTCGTCATCCTGTGGTGACCTATCAGCTCAGTGAATGGGACGGCACACCTATAAAAGGCACGTTTTACGAACCCGATGTGCAAAAAGTCCAAGTATCGGACGACTCGTTGTTTCGAATCGAAAAAGTCTTGAAACGCAAAGGACGTCAGATCTTAGTTCGGTGGAAAGGGTGGCCGGCCAAGTACGATAGTTGGATTCCCGCGCAACATGGTCCGCGTCAAAATAACGCCTCGAAAAAGAAAAAAGCGGGTGCGGTTTCTCGATGAAGTCCTGGCGGATTCCAGTCGACCGCGAGCTAGTTACACACCCTCTCCCACCAGTGACGCGGACGTCCTGAAATTCATCCAGAAGAAAGCCGCCGAACAACGGCAAACCCAACCGTGGTGGGACAAGTTGGCCAGTCCCACCAAACAGCAATGGGCCTACGCCAATGCTTACCATCGAGCTGAGGAGTATGCCAAGCAACGAGGGGCTCTACGGTCCCCACCCAAGAAAAAACGCCGACGCGCTGGACGGCATCCCCCCATGCGCAAGAAGAAACCCCCTAAACCCAAGACCTGCATGACCCTGATGGAACTGGCCCGGGCGTTTCCCAACATTGCCCAGCAAGTGTGTTTTCATCCTAAACAATCGACCTTCAATTCAGTGGTGGGACGTGTCCCTCGCAGTAAACAGAAAGTGGCGACTTGGCTATAAAAGGACCCTGCACCCTGGGGAACGTGCCTTATCTTCATCCTCAACATGAGTGAGATCAAACGCTTGACGCTCATCAGCGATCCGACCGACGAGTTTCCCAACAATGCCAACAACAGTTTCAAGGTCCGTCTGCCCGAACGCCTGAGCTTACCGGGCACAGGCTGGCATGCCTCGTTAATGTCCCTGACTGTGCCGGATCAAGGCCAGAGCAATGCCATCATCGCCGCGGATCCGCATACCAAAGTGATCAAATTCAAAATGAACTATGTGATCCGCAAATGGGTGACGGGGATGTACCGATTCGCCGAGGTGAAAACCGTGGACTGCGTGTTGGAATTGGAAGAGATCATGAATGCGAGTCAAATCGTGGCAACAGGGAGTCAGTTTTGGAAACGCGTGATGCAAGAAATGCACAACAAAATGATGCACAATGTGATGGCGGAACAAATGCGGTGGCTGGTCGCGGAACCTGACCAAAGACCTATTGTCAGTGCCAAACAAAACGCCATGCCCCGACTGACCTGGAAAAAAGGTGCTTTGGTGATTAAGGCCCTTCCCGTCATGGATTTGATTAAAGAGGACAAGACCGCCATCACTGATTTTTTCATCAACCTGGACATTGCGCTCAAGTTTGGGTTGGTAGAGGAAAAGATAGTCAACAACGAGACCAAGTATTACCTAGGGCCCAATATGCAATACACACTGCCCGCCAAGACGTACGATTCGGACACTCCACCCAAAGGAAACTCCAATCGCTCGCCCTACAACTGGGAAGGTGTGAATTACGAGGCCGTCAATCCCTCCTTGCTGTTTGGCAAAATGGTCAGCAGTATTGAACATGATCCCATGCAAGTTCGGACCCATCAGGGTGTGAAGTTTTTGCATTTGTCCTTGCTAGTGGAATGGCAGTTGAACAACCTGGATGCCTCGTTTGAAAAGATCGTGGGAACCCGCCGACGGACCGTCATGGTCTATTCGGATCTGGTCGAATCCACCGTGGTGGGGAGTGGCAAGTATCCCCTGTTACGGGAAGTGCAATTGTTGAGAACCGGCGATGGGGAAAGTACGGCCGAACCCTTGCACCACCAATGGATCAAACTACGAGGCCAACAATTGGATATCTTGGAAGTGGAGATTGCCAGTACCGGTGGACCCCTAGCCATTTTACCCCCGGGCAAAACCCTGGTGACCATTGGTCTCAAACAGCTATAAAAAGCCACCCCACGTCTTTGGCAGGTCCAAAACACGACGTGAACCATGCGCGGAGGCAGTTTAACGCGGTACCACACGCCCGTGCTCACCAAGCAAGAGGGCAAAGGGTTGGCCGAAGACTTGATCAAAATCGCGGGACCCCTGATCGTGCAGCAAGCTCAAGCGGGACTGCAAGATATTCAACGAGGCAAGAGTGCTGCAGCCACGTGGGCGGATCGAAGTGCCCAACTCAGTCGCGGCTTGAAACGCAAAGCCCCTGCCATGGCTTGGACGACGGGGAAACACAAGGTTAAACGGACCGCTCAAAATACCTATAAAAGAGCCACGCAACGTGTACGGGACATCTTTGGACTGTGAAAACAATGGTACGTGTAGGAGGTTTTCTCAAATCGCAAAATCGCGTTCGACGGCAACGGGCCCGTGGACGGTTCATTTCACCGTATCAAGTGGGAGGCACGATCTTTGGCAAGTCGACTACAGCGCGTTATCCGCTGATGCACGTCCTCCCGCCAATTGGATCGTTACCTACAGCGCAGGATGAAAGGGGGCACGATTTTCAGCAAGTTCACTCGCAGGCGCCAAAATCCTTTGGGGTTCCCCACAGCAGCCGATGGCATCAATCCTGCTCGATGGAGGGTGGAACAGGCCCTGCGCCGCATGAAAGGGGCAAGATTATTGGGGCGTTGGGCAGGGGGATCTCCGAACAGTGTTGTGGGCCAATCAAGCCAAAGCCCGGAAACAGAAGAAACAGAAAGGAGGCAACGTCTTTAGCCGATTGAAAAAACGCATTCAAATCGATTTTCCGCACCGCCCCTTTCCCGCCGCGCATCCCATCCATGATTGGCACAGACTACGAAAAGGTATAAAAAGAGGACGTCGTTAAAAACCCGGTCAAACAGATCGCACCATGTCGCTCGAACTGTTTGAGGTGCCTGATGTGGATTATCGGTACGAAGCCTCGCGGGAGGTGGAGTTTCAACCCGCTTTGACAGGCATCCAGCCCATCACTTTCTCCATTCCTGGCTCTGACGATTATTACGATCTCAATTCTCTCCGCTTCAAAGTCAAAGTGCGCTTGACCGATCCAGCTGGTGGGTATACAGGACTGCATGCGGGTCTACTCATTTCCAATGCCAACGAAACCAGACATGTCTACTGCGTCAACAATTTTGGCCACACCATCTTTCGAGACATTACCATGAGCATGAATGGCGTCCTTGTGACCGAACAGAGCAACACTTACCATTACAGAGCCTACCTAGAAACCCTGCTGAATTACAACCGAGAAGAAGGAGCCACCAAGCTAGCTCCCCAAGGATGGGTCAATCAGCTGAATGTAGCAGAAGAAATAGGAGCCACCGCCGCCAATTCCGATGTCCCTGTGGCTGCAGGATGGAGTGGCAATGCAGACTTGCGAGCCCTGACCAGCAAGTTACTGAGTGAAAATTGGCACACCTTCATCGTGCGCCCCCATTTGCCCACCCTCCATACAGGCAAATTGTTGGTCCCCAATATCCAGATGGACTTTGAACTGTTCCTCAACCCCAAGACCATCTACCTGATGGGCTCCCCAACAAAGGCACCTTAGTCACCAAGAAAATTCCAGCCATCCACAATGATGACATCAAAGTCACCTTGTTGATGAGAAAAGTGACCCTGAATGCTGCTGTCTATGTCAGACTGCAAAAGAAAGACAACTGAACAAACAGATTGCCCGCTACCCTGTGGTGCGGAGTGAAATTCGCACCTTTTCCTTTGATGGACGCACCACCCAATGGGAACAAGACAATGTGTTTGTGGGTCGATTTCCTGATCGAGTGATCGTCGGGTTATTGCATTCGGATGCCTTCAATGGAGACCTGGAAAGATACCCTTTTGCTTTTCAAAAGTTTGGGGTCACCCAAGTACGACAGACCTTGAATGGAGAAGAATACCCTTACAGAACCCTGCAATTGACAGGAGACCAAGCCTATGAAGATTTGCTGGGCTACGATCGATTTCTACAAGCCATGGGTGCCTACAATGAAAACAAGATTCCCATGCTGCTGCCTGGTGATTGGGGAAATGGCAAGAATTGTACCTTGTTCATGTTCAACAATGTGCCTAGTCAAAAAGCCGATGACCCTGAATATCGCAACCCCGTCAATCGGGCAATACGCGATTGATCATTGATTTTCGGCGGCTGTGGGACACAACGTCACCGTCTTGATATGGAGCGAGTATGAAAACATGTATGAGATCAACCATCTGGGAGGTATAAAGTACAACATCAACGGCTGAAATCATCTCAGAAGTCAAAAGACACCGAGCATGGAGTTTGTGGCACTCAGTGACACTGTGTTGCGGACCCTGGCCTTGGAAGACCCTGAATTACGACGCGTGTTTCATGGGGTGCATCCCGCCGACCAACTCCCCGATCCCCGCCAAGGAGATCCGTCAAGCCTACATTGTCAACACGGACCCCGCGGGGAGAACCGGGCCAGCATTGGTTGGGCCTGTGGACCGAAAAGAACCAGTGCGAGATCTTTGACAGTTATGGTCTACCCCTGCACGTGTACACCACCCGGAGTTGCACCAATGGTGGGGTCAATGGAAGTACCTGACGCGCAGTGACCAGACCCTGCAAGCCCTGGATAGTCAAACCTGTGGCCATTATGCTTTATTTTTCTTAAAAGCCCGGGCACAAGGACGGTCCTATCAAAAATTTTTGAGTCAATGGAGTTGCGATAATTTAGTGTTGAATGATCATAAAGTGGCCGACCAGTTGAAACGGGTGATTAAACAGGAATTACAAGATGAAGTGGATGCCCGACCTGATGGGGGCAAAAGAATGTAAGCCGCCAGGCCTTTATCACGTGTCATCCTTGTGCATGTTAATAAAAACCATAAAACGAGATGTGTTGTGAATGAGTGGTCATTTGTCTCTCATGATGATTACGCGAAGCGATGTCCAGCGTATTGTGGATGCGTTTATTCTCGAAGAAACCTTGTATTGGTGGGAACACCCCATCGAGCGGGTCAACACGGTGCAAGGCATTGACGCGTGGGATGGGTATCATTGGTTAGTGGCCCGACAATTGGCGCAAGACCAAGATTGGGTCTCTCTCAAACAGTATATGGATAGCATGAGCGAAACGTATTTAAGAGAAACCATGGAAGGCCTGATCCAGTCTGAATCGCCACGTGTGTATCGCGAGTATTGGACAGAATGCCCCACCGCAGACGACGGCGACGACGACGACAACGACAGGGCACCCGACGACCCTGCTTTCGCCAAAACGGACGAGGCATCATGAGCGTGTTGGCCAAAGCCTATAAAATCGGGGACAAATTGGGACGCGACAAACGGTATAAACGTATGGGCGCTAAAGGGGCCACCGGTCATTATCGACGTCACCCTCGTCCGTGGGAATCATGATCCGTCAACCTAGCAGTGTGATTATCGCAGGCCCGTCGGGCAGTGGCAAGACGGATTTGGTGGAACAATGGTTACGGTACCTGAACGTGTTTCAAGTCAAACCCCGCAAGATTGTGTATGCCTATGATCGTTGGCAACCCCGATTCGAGCGGATGCAGCAAAAAGATGGAATTCAATTTTATCGCGGGTTACCGGACCCCCGTCATTTGACGCAATGGTTTGGTCGAACGCGTGGCGGGGTGTTGGTCTTGGACGACCTGATGGAAGAAGGGGGACAAGACAAGCGCGTGTTGGATTTGTTCACCAAAGATTCGCATCATCGTAACATCACGGTGTTGTATTTGACGCAAGATTTATTCCCGCCTGGCAAATTTTCCAAGACCATCAATCGCAACGCACATTACATTGTGGCCTTCAAAAACCCCCGGGATCAAACAGGCATTCGGACCATTTTATTGCAAGCCTTTCCGGATCGGTGGCGTCAAGTGTTGCGCCTATTTAAACGCATCACGGCTCGACCTTTTTTGGCTATTTGATGTTGGATGTGCATCCAGCCTCGGATGATCGCTACCGCCTGTGGAGTCATTTAACGCCCCGAGAAGGCAAGGCCCAAGTCCACACCTTGCGTGCGGATGTCCCGCCGTTCGAAAACGAACTGCAACGCGAACTCGCCAGGGTTCGTCGGCAAAGAGAAGGCGGACAACATACTGAGTTAGCTGCTCGCATGGATACACTCACCCGCGGGGGTAGGTTCCCCTCGGTCCTTCGGGATCTCAGCAGCATGACGGACATGGTGACCGAATTGTCTCGACCCGTGGATCGGGACCAATTGAATCAAGACATTGAGGATTTCAATTTGACTTACCCGGTCAATGTGGATGATGCCTTGAATGCCTTCACACTCCCGCCTGTGGCAGGCACTGGCACAGCACCGCCGCCACCACCCGCCACCACTGCAGCCCCAACCCGCCCCACGACCACCACTTCAACCCGAACACGCCCCACGACCACCACCACCACCAGCCGACCACGACCCGTTACTTCCACCCGAACACGCCCCCCACCACCACTGCTACGACCACCACTGCCCCTGCCCGCCCCTCCACTTCCCGCCGCAGTGTTGGGGCAGGGACCAGGACCACCTCCTCGACGACAACGACCCCACTGGACGCCCTACCGTGGCTGCCAAACAACCGCGACGGCGCCCAGGGGTGCCCTCCCTCCGTCCCCGATTCGTCCCTCCGTCCGGGGATGACGAGGATGACGATGACGACGATCGAGGGGCGAGGCTTAAGGCGACGATTGATTTGCTCAATGAAGATGCTCAAGAACGGGCTCGAGGTCGACGGATTCGCAACATCACGCACACTAATACCGTCACCACCGTCTACGAAGAGGGTGGACGACCTTCGGTGCGCCGCACGTCCACCCGCACGTCCGGCCCACGACCACCCAGACCACCACGCCGAGGACGGGCCGTGGCCGAGCCCGTGGACGAGGTCGTAGTATATAAAAACAGGACCTTTCTCCCCTGTCCCAAAAAATGTGGCCGTTGTCGACACGCTATGGGACGCAAACGCCAACGCAGGACGACACGACGATCATCACGTCGACGGAGGATCAAGGGTGGAAAGGCGCCGTTCGTGGTGGATGTCAAAAGGCTTCAAGTTGTTGACAGACCCAGCTATGTGGAAGATTCCGTCCAAAGCCGACGTCAAGGCCGACAAAACAACGAGTGGCCAATTACAAACGCCAGTATCGCGCGAGTGGTACCAAGGACTCGTACAACAAGTGGTTGGTCAAGAAGGGTATGCCAAAAAGTGGGTGGGTGTAGTTTGATGTGAATGTATAAAAAGAGACCGCGGTGCTCCGCTCTCCAAACGAGTCGTCATGGGACGGAAACGCAAACGCAGGACGACACGACGTCGACCGCGGCGTGTGACCTATAGTCAAGTAGGAGGTGTCGCGCCTGGCCTGCCTATAGGCATTCTCAAAGCCGGCTATGGGATCACCAAAGCCATCGGGGATCATCAAACCAAGCGTGCCATCGCCATTGGCGAAAAACGTCGACGAGAAGTGGCTTCAGGCAAACGGAAAAATACGCGGGGAATCCTTTAATTGTTCCATTATGTGAAAATGTATAAAAGACCTTCGTGAGCCTGAACAGGGGTCAATTGAAAGATGGTCCGTGGACCCAACGGTCGTCGACATCGTTATGTCCCTCGAATACGACGCCGCCGACGTGGACGCCAACGCGGTGCTAAACTCCCCGCTGTTGGCAATGGCTCTCTCGCCTTTGTATCTCCGGAAATTCAAACCCAGAATCCGACTACGACGCCCAGACTAAACGACGCCCAAAACGCAAAGCCGTCACGTTTGCGTTGGATTGGGATGACCAATATGACGCCGCTTTGTGTGCCCGGTGCCGACATCACATGCAACGGCATTATCATGGTGAATTGTGTGGTCGGTGTGGCGCCATTTTACCATAAATAGACCTTGGTCGTTGCCTGAACTGAAGATTCATCATGGGGTGGCGCATGGAACGTCAAGCCCGTTCTTAAAAAGTGTCTTACGAGAAGCCAATCAACACAAACGACAAGAATTGTTGCGGATGGCCAATGCGGATCAGATCAATGCTGTCAGTGAATTGGTGATGAATACCCTCCGTAGCACCGTCCCCCGTTCCCGGCAGACCATTACGTTGCTCAAACCTCACGCTCAGAGTTTACGCGCTATGGCCAAACCCGCTCATTCCGTCAAACGACGACGCGCTATCATGATGGCTCAAAAAGGGGTGCCCTTTGCCGGAACTCTACCGATGTTATAAACGTTGCATGCGCTAGACCCGACCCCTCAGTTTTCACCATGGAACCCGAGATGGTCAGCACCACGGTGAACAACGCCCCCGGCTTTTTTACAATTACGAGACCAGTACAAACAAGAATTGGTGGAAGACACCGCTTGACCAAAGCCGCCGATTTAGCCGCCAAACAACATGTACTTCTGACCAGTGATGTCCCTGATGCTTGGAAACGGCCTCAACTCAAAGCCGTCAGCCGTCAATTACGCCATTGACTAAAAGTGCGCCAACCGTTTGGAGCTGCTGCTGGGGGTGTGACTGCTGCCGGGGCCACCACCCCGGGTGACGATGATTTCGAGGCAGGCCCCATGCAAGCCTGGTTCACGCACTGGTCAAGGCTACCCAGGGTATAAAACAAGGCACCCCGACGCGTGGACCCAGAAAACCCCCTGTCCCGCCTAAAACCAAGGTTCACCCTAGTGCCAAAAGAAACTCAAGTTCACGACCCGTTGAGCAGTGAAGAATTGGCGGAAGAGTTGCCCTTTCCGGGAGGCGCCTGGAACAGCCCCGTGGGAAACCCCCAAAGAACGTGCAGACACTATTACGCAATCATTCAAGCGCGGGATTCGCAAAAGAGCCGCGGACAGTGCTCAAAAAAGAAAGCTGCAGGCGTCGCCAAAAAGAAAGCCGCTGGTTGGGCCAAGAAAGCCTTGGATTGGAAATCGTGGAAAACCCCTAAAAAATGGGACGCAAACGCCGT